TATTTGATTGTTCTATTGTGATTTTATTTCTATTTGAATAAACTACTGATGTCAACTCTACTTGAAGATAGTTACCCTTTGTATTTCATTTAAATGTTATCTCTGTGCCCTGGCTGCTGTGGCTCAGTGGGTTGAGCACTGACCTGCAAACCGAAGGGTTGCAATTTGAGTCCCAGTCAGGGCACACGCCTGGGTTGCAGGCCAGGTCCCCAGCAGGGGGTGCGCGAGAGCATCCACACATAGATGTTTCTCTCCCTCTCTTTCTCCCTCCCTTCCCCTCTCTCTGAAAATAAATAAGCTCTAAAAAATGTTTTCTCTGTTATGCCTTTTACCTTTAGTAATGAATGGTATTCATCGTCTCACGGTTCTGTGATCTCACGGTGACGTGTACACAAGAGCCACTACCATCCGATTGAATGCTTTTCTGTGAGGCAGACATTCTTAAGTTCTATAGAGATCTTTTCAGGCTCCAGTCCCTGTCTTTTAAGACCATGGTTCACACATCCAGATATAGTGGATAAAAGCAGCAAGATAAAAACAGAAACTAGCAAGGATAGGAAATAAAGTATTTGCTTTAGCAGGGCAGCCTATGCCTTAAGAAATTCTTCCACTGTCATTTTCTTCAGTAAGGTTTCAGTTCCTGCTGGGGGGAGAAAGAAGGGTTAAAAACACTACTAGCAGACTCGTTAGCTAGGCAGCTTATTACGCTTGGGGACAACTCGGGAGGAGCAACAGCCTATTAGTGGCCCTATTGGCATTTATCTGTCTTATTGAATTCTGTGCGTTATGTCTCTGCTGAATCACAGAGAGAAGCATAAAACAAAGAAATTACACAGAGTAAATCACTATCGGCGAGCTAGCCTTTTATATTGTTAAGGTGAAGGATTGGCATCACCTGTATATTTACTTTGGGTCTCTCTTGTGTTTGTAAATAAGAAAAGATGAAACCTTCCACTCTGCACCGTTAGCCTCATTCTCCTCGATACTGACAGCATTGTCTGGCACAGACCTGCAGCGTCCCTGCCTGCCACTGGGGCAATGACCCCATAACTTAGACTCTCCAGCCAAACAGCCTCCATCCTCTCTCATTCGTGCCCTCTCCCCTCCAGCCTCCTTTGGAAAACAATTGCTTACAGCTGAGGGCCGCTGCGGTCCCAGACAGGAGGAAGTGGCCTCTGTGCTGTGCTGTGCTCTTCCGTCACTGCAGACCACCTCTCTGCCTCTTCCGTGTCCCTGCTTTTCTTCTGCCCATGGCCTGAGTGTGGGCATGGTGTGTATCGCTCATCCTCTCATTATGATCTCGTTCGTTTATAACTTTTCACGCAGTATCCATGGTTATGAAGCCTTTCTGTCTCTCTCTTACTCAGACCCAAGCCTGGCTCTTTCTGGTTCTTTCATTTTATTTTTTCCTAAGCTTTTCAAAATTGTATTGCATTTATTCAGGTGACACTGGTTAATAAAATTATAGAGGTTTCAGGTGTACAGTTGTGTAGTCCCTCATCTGTATGTTGTGTTCTGTGTTCGCCACCCGAAGTCACCATGGAGCCTCCCTCCACCCTCTTCCACCTCCCCCGCCCCCGTCGGGCTCTTCCATGGCATTCTGCACTTGACCTGTGGTGTCCGTGACTGTGTTCTCTAACGTCCGCACGTGGACTTTAAACCTTTTGGGGCTGTGATGGGTTCGGTATCTGCAGTGTGGCCCATACAGTATGTGTTTAATGAATATCTGATGAATACTTGATCAGTTGAATTAAATACCCTATATGTGGAGAATTCATGAGGATATTGCTTTACCTCCCCCGACCTCTGTCTCTGTATTTACAACTTGTAGTTGAACTTGGGCACCAAAATGTCAGCCCTGTCTGAACTCTTATTTTGTCCAGTGTGGGTGGCAAGTACTGTCAGAGTCCAGCGTGAGTATAAAGGCGCCTGCTCTACTTAGGGCGAGTGTGGAGCACCTTCCCGTAGTGACTGGTCAGTGCCCTTGGACAGGGATGCCAAGAGGAGGAGCACTGGTCAGGTCTGTGCCAACAGGGGCAGAGACATGATCAGTGGCAACACAAATCCATAGACCCTTAGTCATTGCTGTGTCCAGTCATCCCCAAAGAGTCCTGATAAATAATCCTCCCCCATAAACTGCCTTTTATATGATCACACAGTGCCTCTACATCTGTGAAGGGACAGCCCCAATAGGCACCTCTTCAGAATGCCCAGGTACCATGGCAACAGGTGCCTCGGGAAATGTGAGATGGGCTTTTAAGTGTGCTACCCAAGAGTACGTTTCAAGACAGTTCAAAACTAGTGTGCTATATGATGAAAAGTTGTTAATCACTTTAGTCTTGTATACCAGCTGTGTTTTTGGCGTGAGTCTTCTCAGAAATCAGCATCCTGGTTTATTTTTAAAGCATACTGAGATCTGTCCGGAAAAAGTCCAGCCATTGTTAATATGACAAGAACAGTTTGAGCAACATCTATGTCACCTGGAAGCCAAGGAGGGTGGACTAGAATACGCATGCATGAACAATGATGACTTCACTGTACTAGTCAGTGGGGGTGGTAGATGCCATTGAGTGAACATGTGTACTGTGTGGCCATCACATTCAAAATGACTGAGTGAGTAGAACAACAAATCTGCATCAAATTTTTCATTAAGTTTGAACGTTCCTCTATGGAAACTATTTGGATGATTCAGAAGGCCACAGCTATGGGCAACTGGTGATTGACAGTCATCACAACAACATGCCTGCTCATGCATCACATCTTGTGCAGAGGTTTTTGGGGAAACATCATCAAATCACCCAGGTGACTCAGTCCCCCTACAGCACAGATTTGGTGCCCTGCAACTTCTGGCTTTTTCCAAAACTAAAATCACCTTTGAAAGGGAAGAGATTTCAAACTATCAGTGAAATTCAGAAAAATGGGATGGGGCAGCCAATGGCAATTGGGAGAACTATTCGAGGTCCCAAGGTGCCTCCTTTGAAGGGGACTTGAGATATCATTGTCCTGTGTGCAATGTTTCTTGTATCTTGTATCTTCTTCAGTAAATGCCTCTTTTTCCTGTTACATGGCTGGATAGCTTCTGGACATACCTCTTATATTAGAGACAATCACATAGGAGTTAGCCAAATTTAGTTCTTTAATCTATATAATATATAGATCTATATATTATCTACATAACATAGATAATCAATATATTTATGTGTAATACTGTTAGAAGCACTGATATTCTGCGATCCATATGAATTTGAGTCTGTGGTTGAATGATGGCAGGTGGAGGCATTTTAGACAAACTTTAAAACTGAGAGAATTTTTGCAACAGGAGAGGAAAAGAATAGTCTGTTTCAGTCCTAATAGGGGTAAGGTATAAGGTTTTTACCTAAGTGTAGGTATAAAGTGAAATTGAAAGTAAGAGAGGGTGGCAGGGACATTCTGAGGAGAAAAGTTGATGGGAAAATGTTGAAATCAGGCAAGGTGGTCCAAAAACCTAGGGACAGTACTCCGCAGTTCTGCCTTATCCTGAAATAAGCTGTTGTCACTTGTACATGGCTGATGTTCAGTGGCTAGTTCTGGAATCAGTTAATATAAATGTTTTGCTAATTACCAAACATTGAAATAAGTTATCACTATTGGTTAACAAAAAGAATACTAAACAACTTACACAGCACAGATCTGTGTGGAAGAACTGTCTCTGATCATTTGGGCCCAGGAAGACACAACTCAAAGAAACGTTGGCCCGACCCAGGTTAGTGAGGTCAGGTTAGATGTAACCAGTGATATTTCAAACTGCGTTAAGAACTTGGAAAAATTATACAAAAGAACAGCATTAGTATTGGGTTTTTCATTTTCATCATCAGTAAAAATCTCCCTAGGAGCCAGACAGTCTCCTGTGTCTTAGTTTTTATGGCCTAGAGATGTCTCCAAGTTCTGGGCCTTATCTGTCTTGACGCGTAATATCCAGAAAGATAAAGTGCCGGTGTCCCTCTAACTAGGGATCTAGTCCATTAGGCAACAAGTTGGCCCTCTGGAGGAGGCGTACAGAAGTTTTAGTATTCTACTGAATCAGAACGACGAATTATGTGAACAGCTACAGATCTAATTCTCGTGGTAGGCAGAGACTCTTTCTGGAGGGCACGGAAGCAAACAGCCCCTTCCTTGTGCCGTGCAGTTGTAGCGGCTCTGGAGGCCAGGCCTGTGTGCAGGAGCACTGCGAAGTCCAGGAAGTTCCGCTTCTCCACGGTTAGGTGTTTTAAGTGGGGAGGAATCCTACCAGGTCATGAAGATGTGTTATGTTTAAAAAAGAAAAGAAAAGAAAAAAAAGGATGGCTTAGGAAGGTAAGCTCTCCAGTATGAATTTGGGGAAAAATAAAAAGGGCAGAAAAGAGAAATGAGATAATTGTGATAGAATCAGAAACACCACTTTTGGGAATCCCCTCCCTCTATTTAGCAACTATGACCTTTGCAGTATTTCCAACACTCTAGCAGATTCCTGTTTCTAGAAATAGGTTAGTAGGGTATTCTTTGGGAAGTGTCTCTGACCCCACACCTGCTGTGCCGAGCAGGCCGCCTCCTGCCCTCCTTTGCTCTGTTGCGGTCTGCTGCACGTTCTGAACTTCCCTGAGAGTTCGATAACGTGAAGGTTTGACTATATGTAGGAGGCACTAGACAAAGATTGAGTCTTTGTTTCAGGGTTGTTGGCCTGGGTTTGTTTTTTTCTAAAAAAAACAATAATCTTCTTTAATCTTCATGTGTTTTTCAAAGCATGATAAATGCTGACTGACAGCTGACTGAGCTGGTGAACCAGCTGGTGATGCGGAGTGCCCCCCGTCACACTGTACTGTAACCCGGGCTGTGAGTGTGACGTCCCACTCACTGCAGAAGTAGACCTCATGTTTCTTTTTCCTTCTGAGTACACAAGTTCTCTCTCTGGTCCTTGTAATTGTCGTTATAAAGATTTACAAGTCAGTAGTCTTAATTAGTTAACGTAGACCCCTTTCTTTCAGCTTTTTGCCTGAATTCATCAGCGGAGACTTTGACTCTATCAGACCCGAAGTTAGAGAATACTATGCTGCTCAGGTAAGCCCTAAACACGTTCACGTTTACAATGCTTCTCGTACGATTGCTTCTCCTACGTTCTTTCTGGCTTCCTTGGTGTATGTGTAGGGACTGAGAACCTCATTGGTTATTTTATAAAAATTTTATAACAACTGTGATACATATTCAAGCGGAATTTTTAAAAATGACTAGTAGAAACACAATTGTACAAATTGCCACCATCAGATAAGAATGCTAAGTACTCTAAGCACACATATTTTACACAAGTCTAAAGTGAATGGGCTAATTTAATACTCTACTCTTATTACCTACATCCTCATTAGTTATACATGTTTCAGAAATCACTTTTAATTTCATTTACTGAGTGTACTATATTTTGCTTAACCAATTCCCAATGGATTTACATGTGTTTCTATTTTTCTGCATTGTAAACTAATAAAAATCTTTGTAAATGAATTTTTATAAAAATGCATAATTAGAGAACCACAGCTTCTTCTTTAATATGTAGATTTTTGAAACTATTCTCCCATTCTGAAGAAAACTATTCGTTACCGCTTGACATTAACAATAACGTACAGCTGACGGCGTTCAGCGCATTACTGCTGTTGTGAAAGTCGTCCCGAGACCCCCAGCACTGAGGACGAGCACACAGGTGATGTAATTGAGAATGGTGGACGACACGCAGGAGTTTTGCAGTGATTAATTATTCAAGCCTTCACTTGCTGTAGAGGATGATGCAGAGGTTTAAAAATAAAAAGTACAGGGTCAGCAGTTCTAGCCACAATACCCTCATCTGTATTATTCTGAACTGGCATTGGCAAATTACACATATTTTTAAAAGAAACAGTGGTTGTTGAAATATTAAAACTTGAAATTCGTCATAAGGCTTGGGGATGGATGAGATAAAATGAAAATGAAGAAAGAGGAACCCCTTTGAAGGTTGGAAGGAAGAAGAAAGAAAAGGGAAAGAGGGCAGAGTGACTGGGGGTGGGCCAGCAAAGGACCAAGCTTTTTTTTTTTTTTTTGTGACAGCTCCCCTCCTCTCTTTGAGAGGAGCTGTGTTCTTTTTTTTTGTTAAGTTTTTATTTATTTATTTATTTTTAGAGAGGGAAGGGAGGGAGGGACACACACACACACACACACACACACACACACACACATCAATGTGCGGTTGCTGGGGGTCATGGCCTGCAACCCAGGCATGTACCCTGACTGGGAATCGAACCTGCGACACTTTGGTTTGCAGCCCGCGCTCAATCCACTGAGCTACGCCAGCCAGGGCTAGGACCAAGCTTCCAAGCGCAGGCTGCTGTGGTGGACGTTCCGGCCCGGCAGGGAGTGCAGCTCCTCGCGCCCGCGCCCCATCTGCCCACCAGCCGATGCGGCCTCCCCTCGGCGAATGGAGACCGTTAACCACGTTGGTGTTTGACATTCACGCTCAATTACTTTAACATTGGCCCGTTTCCACTCGTTTCCCACAGGCTCACTTCTCATTAACTGCATGCCTCGTCCTCGCTGGGACGGGGAGCCCTCAGCCTTACTTACAAGGCAGGGTTTCACAGATTTACAGATGCTCATCATTTTTTCGGGAGGGGAAGAAGCAGTGGGAGAAGCAGGGACAGGCAGACTCAGAAACAACCCAGAGGTCTGGCAGGTGTGACTCTTCTCCTCCGCCCTTCGGGGCTGCTGGCTGGCCGGAACCGGGCGTGTTGGTCCGACCGCTCCGGCCCCGATGGGGAAGGAACAGGAAAGGAGGGGACACCGGCCCTTTCATTTCTGAATGCAGCAACATGGGGTCAGGGGTCAAAGAGCGTTTTGAATTAATTCCTTCTGATGGATTTCTCTTCTATTTTCTGCTTTTCTTTTTTAAACCTCAAAACTAACATACATTCGTCAAGGTTTAATTTTGAAAGGAAGGTTCGCTGCATCTTCTGACTCCTACATGGCATGGTTGTGAGCGGATGTCGTGCGATCCAGTTCCTCACATGCTGAGGAGAACAGACTGCTTTCGAACTCTCTGGATCTGGTGGCCCTGCAGGGCCTTGGTGACATCTGTGGTGGAGCTAATGTGCCCTGCGTAGGTCACGGTGACAGTTTAGCTGCGGTTTTAATAATGATGATAATGACAACAAGTTAATGCGGCATTACACACCATCCCTCTAAGCCATTATCTCCAATTTCAACAGTCTTTGGCTGCTCCGGTGCAAATTAAAGGACGTTACATTCACTTTCAGGTACACTTTTTTCCTCCCACCTGGTCTGGGTCTCAGCGAAGATGAAACTGGGGCTCTAATAAAGTTGAAAAAAATAGAAAAAAAGAAATCGGAAATGCCAAAGGTTTGTTAAAATCATAAAATTATAAAATGGGTGTTGTAGCCAACATTTATTCATACAAGTTATTTTCTCCAATAGATACGTCTTTGACTTACAGAAAAAAAAATCCAGGTTTATATGACTAATCAACATTTTAAATTGGTTTGCCTGCTTGATTTCTTAGAACACTAAAATATGAAGTGTTTTGTCAGCTTGATTTGTCAGCTTCTAAACAGAACACGCCACAGCCCAGATCTTGCAGCCGGCGGTGCGGCAGCCCGCGCGCACCACAGAGGTTGTGGGCACTGACTCTGGGCGCCGTCAGAATGCACCTGTCTCTCCAAGTCCCCCCACGTCTTAACTACTGACAGCCCACTGTTGGCCAGAAACCCTGCTGGTAACATAAGTAGTCAATTAAAGCATACTTTGTATGCTCTGTGTATTACATACTGTATGCTTACAATAAGTAAGAGAAAATAAGAGACTAGAGAAAAACTAAAACTAGAGAAACTAGAGAAAATAAGAAAAACTAAACTAGAAACTAGAAACTAAACTAGAGAAAATAAGAAAATCACAAGGGAGTGGAAATACATTTGTATTACTGAACTGTATTTATTGACACTGTAAGTTTACATCTTCTGTTTCCAAGATGCATCATCTGCCTGTCAGTACCTGCATCAGCACTGTCTTACGTGATACAAGTCACCGTAGCTGTTACAGGGATTGCTAACGCTAGACCTCAAAAACGGAAAGATGACATGAAAAAGAAGTTCATATTTATTGACAGCTATGGCAATTCACGCACTGATAACAAAGCAGCAGCAATGTGATTGCTTTATGGAAGCCGAGTGTAGCGGGTAGAATGGAAGGTAGCTAGGAGATTGTTGCAATATTATGGTCTGTGCTGTCGTCAATGTTAGGAAGTTACGATTCAGTACTGCACCTTCATTTACACTCGCTTCGACTGCAGAGGTGCCGTGTACAGTGATTGTGCACAGTTTCGATTAATCTTACCTTTCTGTAATACAGTTGTGTATATTTTGTGGTAGATAAGATCAAGTAGACCGGTATCTATGTATATTTTATGCATTCATGGCATACCTGACTTTTTCTTAATGTTTTCCACATCTCATGGCTACTTAATTGCTAGTTTTTTTCAAACTGTTGCAAATTTCCAAAATATGGAGATTTTCTTTCAATAATATATTGAAAAAAAACCCACATGTAAGTGGACCCACACAGTTTAAATCCATCCATGTTGCTCAAGGGTCACCTGTAGTTATCTATTGTTGTCTAACAACTTACCCTAAAATGTGTCAGCTTAAAACAGCAAACATACTTACCTCCCATGGTCTCTCCAGGTGAGGAATAGGAAAGGTGGAAGTCAATTATAACTGGGTTGTTCTGGCTCAGGCTTCCTCACAAGATTACATGGTAGCTGATTTTCAGTCACCTCGAGGCTCCCCTGGGGGACAGAGTTCTCTCCCAGGGTTAGTTAGCCACGTGGCTGTTGGAGGGCGGCGTCCGCCCTTGGCCACTGGGCCGCCCACGGTGTGGCAGCCTGCCTTCCAGAGAGGGATCAAGTGAGAGGAGGGCTCGCCTGCGAGAGAAGCAGCCCGGCAGCAGGAGCTGTCTGTTCGGTGGCTGCCTGCAGTGGTGGCGTAGCATCCCACGGTCTCTGCGGCACTCTTGCAGCCCAGGTCTTGCAGCCGGGGGTGTCGTTCACACAAACCCACCCTGCCTGCCAGCAGGTGGGCTCCGACGCCACGCACAAGGCGGGCAGCCCCAGGAAGCAGGAGTCGGCGGCAGCCTCCTGGGAGGCCGGTCGGTGCCCACCACCTGACAGACGTCGTACCAACGGAGCCTGAGTGTTAGGCAGTGAGAGAGATGTGCTGGTGACGTCACAGTGCAGTCTCAGTCTTTAGTTAGTATTATGTAAGAAGAAAGGAGGAAGCCTAGCCACTAGCAAGTTCTTTTTGATTCGGTCTTTGTACAATAAAGCCTGCTTTAAGACAAGTTACATGCCAACAACCCAATTGCTCGTCTTTGTGTCCACAGCCCTAATTAGCTTTTCCTTGGGTTTTGGACAAACGGGAGAAAGCTCTGGCCTACCACTTACTCTCATATGGTGCATAGGGCGAGAAACAAGGTGTTCATTTACTCCCCTTGTTCATTAGCATGCAGCAGTTTGAAAACTGCAGGGTCAGGATGCAGAGTTACCGCCCCTGAATCAATACTAAAGTTGTCATTGGAACTCTTAAGTGAAGTATAACATAACTTGGAACTTTCAATGTATTTTTCTATGCCAATAGCTGCATTTAACTCATTTCAGTGTTAAATGTATAGATGCGATAAACATCGATTATACATAATCATAGCTCAGCTACCTGTGATCCATGTCCCTGCTGCATGTGGTACACCCTTCTTAATTTGCTCCATAAAGCCGTCCTCTTTGGATAGCTGTAGAATCGTTGTACTTCTGCTTTTACCCATTTGTCTCGGTTCCCCCCTGCTGCTCACTAATATTAACTTGGAATGAGGAATGTCTCCTAGAGAGTTCCCCCTTGATGTATTTTTTTCACCGTCTGAGTTAGTCAGTGCTTCGTTGAGTCAAGGCTAAAATCATCTCTTTCAATCTTCTTAATTATTCCATTATCATGCCTGCATGTATTTCAGTTTCCTGAGAACTTTTGAAGAAATTGTAATAT